AATGATAGAAATATCTTTCACTGTTTTTTGAAGTCTAATAAGAATCTTTCGTCTAAAAATTATTTAATTGGAGAAAAATTGAATGAATTGATATGCATTCATTGATTTTATATAAGAATTAAAAAAATTGCATCCGTTTTGCATTGCGAATTAACAGAAAAATTAAATTTAGTTTTATTATCGTATAATAAAAAATGTCAGCAAAAGCGATTTTAATAAGTTTTTTATTTAAAAAATGTTTTCCCTGCTTTAAGAAAACATAAAAAAGTCTGGAGCATTGAAAAATGTTTAAATGAAAAAAAACAATAGGAACAACAGCTATTCAAAATGATATAAAAGCTACTCGATTAAAAAAATGTTTCAACGATATTCTAATTCATACTTCATTTGAAGACTTTCAATAACGCTTCTAAACTTTTCTCGCAGAAAGAAACTTCAAAGATATATTAATTTTGACAAAAAAAAAGCTGCGTTTGAATTTAAACAAGTTTTATCTTTACATTTTGTCGGTCTTGTCGGACTATGAATTATATTGCAAATCATTTTTGAAAGAGGAACCAGTAATAAATCGAAATAATATAATTCAATTCTTAATAGATTAGTCTCGCTGAAGAGGCAGTTCGGTTAAAAACACATCTAACTGAGCAGACTCTTATTTCTGTGTCTCATCACCGGGACAGTTCTCGCCTGCGCGGCGACACGCCGGCGTACGAGAGCGCGGTTCTCGCGAGAGCGCGTGTTACCGCAGAGGGTTTGTTCCCGGAAGGGAACCGGTGGCACGTCGTTACCGGGGCAAACTACGTCGTCGACAAGCGCCGGTCGGTAAGTGCAGGAGGTCCGGTGCACGTCGGCCGCGTGCTCCCGGTCGGCCGTCCACCCCCGGTCGCCGCCTCCGCCTCCGCCGCCGCCGGATGCCGCGATGCGGGCCACCGCCGTGGCGGCTGCGGCCGCTCCCGCCATGTTCGCGACACGCAGGCGCGCTTCCGCCCTTTCGTTCACGGGGGTGTCGATCACCCCCGCAAGCCCGGCCCTCGTACCTCGGCGCGGAACCAACCCCTATGCGACCTCGGCGCCCTTCGGGGGCGGAGACCTCGCCCGCTGGCCCTCGTCGATCGGGCGCGTCCTGTCTGCCCCCGGCGTTTCACGACGTCGTCGCCCGTCTCGCGCGAGCCGGCAGTGTCGCTCGAAGCGGGTCGGCAAGATGATCGGCGCCTTTATTGGCGCGCAATTCACGTACAGTACGCTCGTGCAGACTACGACCATCGGTGAAACGAAAGTAATAACACGCGGCGCCGCTATCCACCTCGCCGTCGTTCGAGGGTGAGACGTTTGCCGAGACATCATTGCTGATATGTTTCTGATCTCGTCGTCGTCGCGCCTCGTGCCGCAGCAGCTAATCCGCAAGTCGACGGTGCCGCGATAAGAGCGGCAGCTGAGTCGCGTAAAAACACCCGCCGTACCGCAGGGGAAAGCAGCTGAAACGCGCGTGGCGCGGGTATACCGCATCGCGCGATGCTGGACCTCAAGAGCAGCGGTACCACCGCGGCGGAGCTACCACGCACCACGGCGTTCACCAATCTATCGATGCTGTTCGCCGGTATGTTCCGTCTCTCTGTGCGCGCGGAATTGCACTTTCAGCGTGCCAGATGTTTTCGGTAGTGCGGTGATAAATCGCGGTCCCACGCTCTCTCGGTAACTACCACGCTCGATATAACGCACGTGTCCACCTGCCTGAGAATTCCGTGCTCGAAACGCCGTGTCCGTCGCAAGCTATACGTTTAACCTTGTGTCCCACGCGCGAGTGCTTTTATAAATCTCTTCGTGCTACAACAAGGGCGGTTTTATACTTATATATCCTAAACATTTGTCTTTTTATGCGTAAAATATCGCACGTGTTCTTGAATATTCATTATGTTATTTTATTACTGTAAATAAGATATATAAAGTAAATGTATGTACTTTTAGAAGCAGATACGAGCCTAATGGGGCCAGACAAGATTAAAAATCTGGTAGCACATGATCTTTTGCGTGTTTTACAATCTATAGAAAATGTGTAAACGTAGAATTTATCCATGATATGTTCAAACGTATTTATCCATGATAAACGTAGCACTTAATCTCATTGAAGTAGAATGAAGTTTTGAGCGAAATTGTTTAGTACATTGTCGAAAGATAATTAAACAATTCAATGTATATTTATTGTAAACCTCCTGAAGTTTCTATTTCATATTATCTAGCAAATTGTTGATATCGTTGATTATATTTGTCCAGACTATAATATTTGTATTGAATCCTTCAGATTGAACAGTTGATTATCTAATTGCACACTAAAAACTGTAGACGTTGCAATATACGTTATGATAGCGTGATAAATAATTGTTAATGACCACGCGGCTCGTAAAGGTAACAGAAAAAAGCAAATGTTAACTGATTAATCAAACTAAACGAACTACATGCATCAGAATCTCGTGAGATGAGCATTTTAGCTCACGTATCATTTCACGTAACTTTCGACGTGTGTAATTCAGAACTAAGTTTATATTCTTTTCTATATTCTTTGCCAAATTTTTTTTACCCTTAAGTCATGTATCAGTCTCTGTCGGAGACTGACTTGGAATCCATGAAGTACGAACAAAATGAAAATATGTATTTTATTTTTGCCATCGTTGAGTTTTATTAAACTCAATTAATGTTTTAATGCTATTTTTGCAATAAATACATTAACAGAAAATTTGGAAAAACCGGAAGCAAAAAGTAACAAATTCTAAAATATAACATCTTTGAATAAAACATGTGTTATATTATTGTATATAATATTGTCTTAATAAATATATAGTATAATTAACAAATAATGATAAATAATATAATTAATAAAGAGATACATCTCAATTTATTGTATGCGACTTATAATTTCTTTGTCGAAGTGTTTATTACAAATAGTATATTCATTATACCCAAACATTCGGTAATCCGTAAGAATTCTCGTTTCTTTTAGGCTGTCTCTATTTCTTTCCAGAAAGAGAAAAGTTTATGAGAGAGGATTTTGCGATGTAGTTCGTAATCTTGCAACACTGTTTCGCAAGAAACCCCAAGAAAATCCGGCGCGTATTACCGAACGATTGGCGCACCCCTCAGCACTTGAGAAACGTGAAATCCGAGGATCCATTAATGGACTCCGGGGTCTCCAGATCAAATGAAGGGGGCAGTAAAGACGAAAGATCGAGCCGTGGTGAGCGCGCGGGTAGCTCGTTTTTGTTTGCTCGGAAAGTCGGAGTTTCTACCACGCGGTGTGTGACGTACCTACGTATGTACACACGAGGGCCGACCCTTTGTGCCAATAACTGCGAAATGAAAATATATCTGTTCGCAAACATGCCACCGACGGCGACGCTCGCTCGGCGCCGCGCCGGGAGCTCTCGAGAGAACTCTTGCATGGCGAATATACAACATCGCCGTCGCTGTCGCGAGCAACAACTACGCGCACGTGTTATAATAATTCCATATTTGTTCAACGAACGTCCTTTTGCTCGGATATTATTCGACCAAAGAAATCGCTAGATCGGCGATCGTTGACCAAGTTTCAGAAAAAAGAAAATTTAGGCAAAAATAAGAATAAAGGAAGTTGTTGAAATTGCAAGTTGTTAAATATGAAATGAATGGAAGAGTGTGTAAACAAGAAAACATTTATTTATAAAGAGTATTGCTAATTATTATAGAAAATGTTGATTTAGTTTTAACATTATGAAAATAATTTTATTGAACTACCAAAATAAATATGTAAAACGTTAAAATGTTAATGCGAAAAGTTTTAACATTCTAGCAACCAATTTAAGTGGCTTCCATAATTATTTTGATGGTCCGAACAAAATTATTTTTAGATCTATATCTAGCTAAATCTTCAGATACTTCAGCAAAATCGTTCTTTCCATGTATATACTAGGATTTGTGTCTAAAAAAAAATTAGACATGATAATATTGAAAAATGATATTTATTTTCAACGTCTTTCTCGTATATATTGATAGTTACGTGTGTTTTAGATATTTTTTATAAATAATTTAAATTTTTTTTAAGTTCAAAACTGTTTTAATTTTATTCCTGCAATACTTCAAAATTATTATGATGCACAAAAACGAATAATTCTTCTAATTTTAACGTCTAGTCTAATATTTCAGAGAAATTGAGTTTTATGATTATACACTTTGTACATCTTCTCACTTTTTTCTACATAAAAAGAATGGTTTTGCTAAAATATCTAAAAATTTAGCTAAGCACAGATCTAATAATTTTGTTCGACCATCAAAATAATTATATAAGAAGCTCAAGCTAGTTGCTAGAATATCAAAACTTTTTGCAGCATTGATTATCATGTTTAAGTTTCTTGAATAAACTAATTAATTATTATCCAATTATTTCATAGTTTTTTTAGATACTTCTGCAGCAAAATCATTCTTTTCGTGTAACATACATATTTTATAAATAATTGAAACGGTTAAAATTTGTATGATTACAAATTTTTCAACGTTTGCAACTTTGAGCATAAATAGTTCAGCCATATCTTTCATTATTATATATAAATTTACGTATCGAGAATCGATTTCGAAAACGATATATCTACAACGCATATGTGTAAATTCTCTCGCGTACATTTCGCATCGCTCTCACGCAGAAACGATCGGAGCCGTTAAAATATCGTAAAGATTTCGAAGTAGAAGAAACGCATTTTTCCCTGTCGAAGTCGCCACGATAGCTCGGAGCACTTTCAATCAGATATACTTTACGGCTTCTCGTGATTCCTCGAACCGATTAACTGGTAATTGCGGACGATATATTCGCCCGTACTACTGACGTGACCTCAAAAAATGTAATCACAATCCTGCTAAATCACGAAATATCTGCGCGGATCGATAAGCCGTAGATTTCCAACGCGTGTCGTAACAAATCGGGAACTTTGCACCGTGAATAAAAAGAAATAATTGAAAAATATTTCCCTTGCTTTCAGATGCTAGCAGCTCTTATAAGGGAGGTTGGAGCCACGCCACGTCGCCGGCACCTGGTCAGGGTGAGTCTCACCTGTTTATTTACGAAGATGTTTAGCAATATTAAGAGGAGGACATGTAAAGACAAAATTGATGCAAAAATCACTCTGCGTGAAGAATATAAATACAAAATGTCATTTTAATATAAAATAACAAGAGTGCATTTAGCAAATTTTGTTCAAACAACCGATTCAGATTTAATTGATTGATTTACCGAATATTTATCAAAAAATATAGTTATACAATCTCAAAAATATAATGTTCCATCTCTTATTAATTGCAATTATAGAAAACACCTTGATATTATCAAGCAATAATTATTTACTTCATTGCGCCATTTACATCTTTTTGAAGAAAATCACAAAAACCAAATGTTCCCATTCACACAAACGCACCTCAATGTATAATAAATATAGTATTAATATGATAATAATTTATATATGTACATATATATATATATATATATATTTCTCATATTAATACGCAAAAGATTTTGGTGAAATATCTGAAGATTTAACAAGATGTAGAAAATACACAATAATTACGTAGGCCTTTCTAAATAATTATATTGGATATTTAAGCTGGTTGATAGAATATCACTTTTTGTTGTATTATCGTCGATGTCTATATACGTTCTACATAATTATTTTCAAATCTGTATTTGGTCTAATCTTGATATACTTCAGCAAAACATTCTTTCCGGAAGCTAAAGCATTGATTTTAATTGTCTAGCAAGTAGAGCTTATAACTAGATTATGTAGCCCTATTCTAGCCCTAATCACCACTGACAATCAACAACTGGACTTAACTCTTTCATACTTCTTTGATTTCCGTCGTATCGATGTCAAACAACGGAGTGGTTTTCTAAATTTCGCGACCTGTATGCCCCCTCCGTTGTCCTCGCAAAATTCCCTCTAGCTAAGAGGGAAGGTTTTCTTTTTCTTCATTTTCAGTTCGCTAGACGCTACGTATACCCAAAGGGTGGGTCGCGGCGCCGCTGGGTGCAAGTTCACGCGTCGCGACGCTTCGGCTTGTTCGAGCAAGCTTTGTGCGTGCAGACGCGTAGAGGATGCGAGAATGTGGGTGTAGGTGTGGGTGTAGGTGGCGTCCCGGGTGCTTTGTGGCGCGTTGAACCGCGGCCCCTTTGTCGTCGAGAGAGAACGAGCGAGCGGAGGAGAGAGAGGGTGAGGAAGGGTGGCAGAGAGCAAGCCCCGGGGGCTGTGTAGAGACGCCTGCCCGCACGGTGGTAACGCCAAAGAGCAGGCCCCACCCTGTGTGGACGCCAACACCAACGCTAGCACAATCATCTCGCGGAGATCACAGAGACCTGCCCGCAGGCATCTTTGTTATAAACGGCTTCTGGCCGCCACCAACCAGGTTACAACAGCCCGTGCACTGTTCGAGATCACCTCCACGAGAGGATGTAAAAGTCTTGTCTTTAAACGCGCGTGAACCCGTTGGTGCCATCGCTGTCCACTTTGCTCTTGCATTCAGGATTACATTCACGATTCGCGCAGTCTGCCATGTCACATCTTAACACCGAGGTTTTAAGCGCATAATTTAACACAATGTACGATATGACGAATATGCGGCAGACCACGTACAGACTCCGGACGATTTTGCACTATAATTTTGAGTTAAGAGTAGTGTGGAAAAATTGAAAAATCGAAGATTGTAATAGTATACAAATGACGGACTCGCGTCGCTTATTATTTCTTCATATAGTATTAGTTCCAATTCACTGTAATTCTTTTACCGGTACTATTATAACTGTGTAAGAGAATAGCGCGGAACGAAATTTTGCTCTTTGGACTTTATATTTTGAGATATTTTATCAAAATATCCGAATAAATCATTTGAAGAGATGTGAAATTGGCAACGAAGTTTCGTTATATTTCGTTAGAATAATGCTAATTAATAGGATTCTGTTAGTCAGATTCTGTTTGAAGAAGGCATCTTGGAAGGCAGATTTTGGATTCTTTTTCCGCATTGCACTGGAAGTTTAATTTTCAGGTATTTCTCGCGATGACGCACACACAAATCGCTTTACGGGCACGATGTGAGCTCGGGGGCATTTTCGAATAGTGTACTCCAGCACCGTTCTCTGATCTTGACAGACGCGGGGTCGCCTTTGACTCGGTTTACACTTTGCGCCTCGACGCGAAAGGGAACGACATCGTCGTCATCACTGAGATTCATGAAATTATGTGACGTGACGCGTGTTGATCCGGAGGGCACTTTGTGGTCTTCCGGAACGCGTGAAATTGCAATTACAAGCTTGTCTCCTTGCATAACGGCCCAGGTTATCGCGCACTACTTTCGAGATTCGTTAGAAAATTACCGTGTAAAGGATAACTAGAAGAAGTTTAAGAAGCTTAAGAGATTTTAACGCCTATTCATAAAGCGTAAAGTACTTAAAAGTGTACTTGACTTTGAAAACGTTATTTCAATAATACCAACATAAAAGACGATGGTACTTGTTACTTAAATACAATAACAATCCAAACATTTATATATACAATAGATTTAATATTAGATAGATTTAATATTAAAGATTTAAAATCTAATTTTTGTCATACACAATATTTATATCTATATATTATATAAATTCTATTTTACCAATTATATATCTGCCTCTGTGTTAATAATATTTCAATTGTTGTAGTTGCTGATATAATCTCTTTAGTATTTTAAAATTTATAAACTTAAATTCTTGTTTTTGTTTAAGTGAATTATTATATATATACACAAAATTTATTTAAACAAAAATAAGAATTCAAGTTTATAAATTTAAAAATACTAAAGAAACTATATCATCATGTACGCGAAAAAATTCAGCGAATTGTTCTATAAGCGACGCGTTTTAATGCAAATTACTTCCTGACTTACTCGCGATGTTCCGTAACGTCATGCAAGGACAATGATGAACTGACACCCGTGAATTAACACATTAGAGATATATCTGTAAACCGAGTAATTCGAGTATGCTCATTAATGTTGCTCGCGTGCTTGGTAGCCCAAAGTTATTTCATGTCCTGAAGCAGGTCATGCTCATGTAACCTTTCCGTACCGAAATGCGCACTGAAACGTTGTACTACTTCACGCGATCCAATCTAAAGTCAAAGTAGTCAAAAAAGCTTTCTTGCGTGAACTGTCCGAAGGTTAATTATCTGTGGCGTTGTCAGTATTAGCAGTCCAAAATTTTATACTTTACAGATTTCCCAATTTATTACTCTCGAAAAATAGCTCAAGTGTATGTCACTATACTTGATTTATATTATCTTAGTTATGGAAGAAACATTGAATACGTATATCAGATGAATTTGATGTAAATAATTTTTCTTTCGTTTTAGAGTAAAAGAGACTAGCTTCGCGTACAGCCAAATCAATTAAATCTTGAATTTTATAAAAATTTAATAACATATTTTATTATATATAGAATAAAATTGCCTCTATCTGGATAAAATGTAACCAGTTACGTACATTATAATTTCCTACCAAATGAGAATTATTAAAGCTTGATGAAGAGCTTTGTATGACTAGCTCTTCTTCATATTCTTCTTTATAATATAAACGGAAGGAAAAGACTTCGGTCGAATTCATTCGATATAAGCATGGATTGATCTGAGCAGTGCTGCTCCCATCGCGCGACGGCTTATACTCTTATATTGCGAAAATAACATAAACCTCAGCGGGTCGATTCGAGAATTGTCGAGGCGCGCTGGCGCGTCCGTCGAGAAACATCACGTCGCGTTATCGACCACCAGCCGAGGGTTTCAACGGGTCTGCCCACTGGCCAGGAAAAGCGACTTTAAGACGACTCGTAGAACAATAAAAGCACTCTCTCTTTCTCCTCCTACCTCCGTCGACGTTGCTGCCCTTCCGCTCCCCAGTGCGCCTCGCGTGACTTCCTGACCTGAGTCGACCGACCCCTCGATCCCCTACGCGTGTGTATGTGTCTGAGGGCAACCTCCCTATGATAATTACGTACTTCGGAGCGGCGCGTGCCTCGGCAATTCGCTCACGCGGCCGATCGCGTATGGCGTGACTATCCTCGACACCATAGGTAACTATCTTACCATACCCCTACCCCATTATCCAGTTTTGATTTTGCTTCCTTTAAAATATGTACGAAGTGATTGACGCTAGAAGATACGTACAATTAGGATATCCCGATAATGGAAAGTTCGAAAGATGTCTAAAGACGATCTAATCTTTCAGCGCCCTTCAGATGTTCTTTAGATATCTAATCAGATTTCGGGTGTATGTAAAGACTTTCTTGAAAATTCAAATATATGAAATGAATAATTTCGACAGAAATGATACAAAGTATCATTTAATTTAAAAATATTCCCGTGGAATTAAATCACGTATGAGTTCTTTCAGAACAAAGATTAAAGCTCACTATAAATAAATCGTTGTTGATGAAATTTTAATAAAAACCGAAAATGCATGAATTTCAAAATTTATTTTTCAACTAGATTCTGTCTGATTACAATACGTTTTGTTATTCGAAGTGTCTGTTATTTCTTATAATTATTCATCTTATATATAGTTAACATTAACAAAGAATAACAAAATATTCTCCTTCTATTTCAACCAGTGCTATAATTTAGGAAGGGGCAAGGAATATAGTAATAACGTATAAAATTAATAGTATAAGATCAATAAACCGAGAGTTTGTCCGAAAACTGATTTCGAATCCGTGAGAATTTCCTAAAAGTTTGAAGCGCGGATTTTAACGTCCTCCAGAGAGAGGGGTAGGAGGGGGTGAGACCGGAACCCCGGCCAAGAAGAGCGGACGACCGGATCTTGCTGGCACGGGTTCCGTTCGTTCATAGATCCCGCGGGGTCGCGGGAGCGAAACTCTAGGGGACATGGATCGTGGGCAACAAGTCACTGGGAAACGGCGCGTGACCAGCGCATTCGCGCTGCCAGATTTACGACAATAAAAATGAGGAAGGGTATAAGCGGTGCATCGTCTCTTTCTAGCCCTCTTTTTTCCCTTCGTTCTCTCTTCATC